CATAACGTATAGAGCTCTTTGTAGAACCCAACACCGTCGTCCACCACAGATGGATCATCATGGGCATCATGTTCACAGAGATCTGCGATGACACGGACAGAGCCGATGGGAATGGTCCGTTTCGCATTCTTCAACCGCTTGAGAATCTGCCACGCCTCCCGACGGTCAACTTTACTCTGTATCATATGCGCAAGAACACGCTCCGTCGAGCTATCCGTCAGGGGAATATGAGCTTCGTGCATGGTGCAAAGCGCTTCGAACGCAGCAGGCAGATTGCCCGCTGCCACGTGCGTCTCGACAAGTCTTTCATACTGTGTACGCTCGAGCGGGATCCCGCTCTCACCGAGGTAACGGAACACAGAGCTCGCCATCTCCGTATCACCAGTATTTGCAGCCATTTTCAATACGTCATCGCAGACTTCAATGAGCGGATGCATGTAGCCCAGCTCCACCATCCGTCGCCACACGTAGTGTGCCATGGGGTAATGGCCGTGCTTCCCTGCCTCGGTCAACACGTGCATCCAAAGCCGATGGGTCATGTCGTGGCCCTGGTCGACGCGCGCACGCATCACATCGTACACTTCATCCAGCTCTCCATGGTCGCAAAGCGTATAGACAATTATACTGTGTAGCCAGTTTTCCACAAATATATCCTTGCGCTGCATCAATGCAACGTGCTCGAGCGCGAGCTCGATCTGGTTCTCGCGGAGAAGACCAGCCGCCACAAAATGCCATCCGGCTGGGCTCAGCGTGAGCCACCGGTCACGGAGCTTGTTGAGGATTTCTTGTCGTAGGAGGTAGTCCGGATGTACAGCTAGGACCTGTATTGAAAATTGAATCGTTAGCTTCGCTTTGCCTATATAGCTCGTTTCAACCAGATAACCTACCTGCAATGCACCGTGGAGTGTCCCAGAGTCCGCGGTGATACCATTATTCTCCATCTCCTCCAGCAGACCGCGCACAAGCTCCGGCGAGCCCCTCTCATTATCGGTATTTGCAAGAATCAGCGCCTTGTAGTGGCGAGCATTCGGCTTGACATGACGGTCCCGAATGAGCAGTCGTAGGATCTGCGTTATGTGTCGAATGTTCGGCTTGTTGTCCATTGCATATTGCAATCGCGACTCGAGCCCTTCGTTCGTTTTACCTAGAAGGTCGTCTTGCACCTTATGTGTTCGTGTGTATAGCGGGCTCTTTCGTCGTGGAGGTGGCCTGGCGTATGTTGGATCTGGAGATAGGCGAGTGTCACGGTATTCATTCTCACGTGGCTCCCGTGGTTCGCTCCAATCATTATGATGTGCTGCATTATATGAAAATTTGGAATCATCGCCGCCTGAGGTGTTGTAGCATCGGCGCGAACCTGAGCTCGGGCTAGGAATCGAAGGTAGTGGGTATAGCGGGTTTCGACCCTTGGATTTGGGGAATGCCGTTGAACGACTGAGACTCAGAGCTGTAAATGACGGACAAAGCGAGTACCACAGTCCATCGAGGACCAACGCCCGCCGCGACATATCCGCTTGTGGCTAACTGATCGGAAGCTTAGCCTCCGCGGATTTGATCTAGAGTTTGATATCACGTGACATCCTCGAATATTCGCTTCTTGGATTGCGCGGGATTTACAATGAAATAGGTAAGTCAGGTTTGGCTTTTTGGAACATAACATTTAGAGGTAGTTGTAAATCGACCAAGTGACCCAGATGCCGTGAAAATACAGAGCCAGATACGCCACGGCCATGCTCGATCAAACCGTTCCACCAGACCTTTCGAGCGACCTCACCACCGTCTCCTCCGGGGGTATCTCGTTTGCCGTCTTCTTAAAATCATTGATGCAGAACACACTTTATGTCTAATTGGGGCCGCCTCGTCCCCGACCACGTCCACCGCGGCCGCCACCACCACCCCGACCACGGCCGCGGCCACGATCACCATCTCGCCCGTGGCCACCGCGACGGCCTTGTGGTTGGTTCTGTTGCTGCTCTTTAACAATTTCAACAATCTCTTCGGGAACTCGTAGGTATTTGATCTGGTGGATTGTTAGCGTATAGCCTAAGGAGCGGGGCTCTGCGTTGATTGCTTGTCGGAGGGCTTACGTTGTTGCCCCGGATGTAGACTTCGGGTAATCTGAAGAAGCGGTCGCCCTCAGGACTCGTCTGCACTACCTCGCGCAGAATCAGGTTCATGAAGTTATCGCACGTAACCAGGTGGCCGTTCAGAGTTTCGCCGTTTTTGAGTTCCACGAGCATGGGGTGGCCCTGTGCGGCCGTGAGGAGACCGAGAGGCAGCTGATCATAAACCGACTTAGTATAGGTATCGGAAAAGGTGTTTGGGTAAAGCTGGAGCTTACCATTTTGAAATGCGATCGAGGTGGGTGAAGGTGGGAGAGTTAGTTGGCGCACAGAGTTGAAAGAGCGCGGGTTGTTGCGTGTGTCCAAAGTTTGTGACTTATGGATTGAACGGAGGAATTAGACCCGGCACTGTTGATTTATCTGGTGATGTTGACAGTAGCAATGGATTCAAGCTCTAAGAGATGCGATGAGGAAGCCGGAAAAAGGGAAGTGCCGAGCCCAAATGTGGCTTGGGTGCCATCTACTACAAGGAACCTTCGAATTCTTCTATTTACATCCATTACATACCAAAAGCATAGATCTACAGTATGACAGCTTTCGGTAACATAAATTAGGGGGGATCGACTAGAATTGAGCTTTTGAAGTTGCACACCTATTGGAAGAAGAATAATCCGTTGACTTCGAAAACATCCTCGTGTGCATTACATAGTGCATAAGAGAACTGAGCACCGCAAGGCTTTTAAACCCTTGGTCGCTTACCTAGCTGTGTCCCGTCCTCCTCGTCATCATCATCATCCATAACCGTGAGCTTGCGCTTGACACGCCGGTCTCGGCTACTGGTAGGAGCCTTGCTAGCTTGTTCGTTTGCCTCTTCCTCTTCATCAGATTCACCTTCTGGCAAGCGGCCCTCCAGCGCATCCAATGTGATCTCGTAACCTTCCTCCACATTTTGGACCGTAGCATCAAGTTTCTCCACTCGGTCTAGAAGCTCCAGTTCGTTCAAAAGTTCTTTGTTTTTTTTATAGAGACGTTGCTTGGTTAGCATACGCCACCAATAGTAGCGTCGGTCGTCCTCATTTTCGGCCTTGTACTTCTTGATTAACAGTCGGGCAAGGTTTGTGCCGCCGGCCAGGCGATGGCTTTGAGGAATCTGACCGAGAAGGTACATCTCTAGAACGTGTGCGAACTGCGTAGGTTCGATCTTGAACGATCTGCGGATGTCATGGAGAAGCTTGGTGGGGATGAGGGCGGAAGTGGGTACATTGCGAGGACGCTTCTTTTGCGAATACGCCCCAAGGGGGTCGGGATTGAGATTCACGTTGTGCTTCAGGAACTCCGGCCGCAGCAGACAATAATCGGCTGTATCCCGGAGAGCGTCGAACTGTTCATTGGGGTCTTCGATGGTCAATTCTAAAATGGTCGGGTCTGCGATGCAGGCCGCGTGGATTGTGGTATATAGGTGCGTGCCGTGGCCGGCGCGGTGGTGTGGAGGGAGAATAAGGAACTGGGCAATGCGGAGCCGTGCAGGAAGCTTGGCGATATTGACTTCTGGTAACGGGAACACTTCGTTCTTGACCGTGGGCTTTTGTGATTGATCTCGCTGGTAATACCAATAGCGGTACGTTGTAGCATATCCGACGATCGAATATGATGATGCTGTTGCTGTTGGAGGAGTGACCTTCTCATATCTGTAAATCGGATTAGCCTCAGGTCACGGATATCAGCACAAGACAAACATACACGAAATATACCCTCCACCGGTCGAGCGTCCACTCGGGGTCATCTGTCTCTAAGGGAGTTCCAGCTTCGATGAAGAGGGAGACGAGAACCTGCATGCGATCCAGAATTTTCCGCACTTCAGGGTCTGCAAGTGATCCAGCCCAGACCTCATATTTTCGGTCTTCAACCTCGTAGCCAATGACAAACTCGCCCGGAGGCTTGAAATCTTTCGCATCTGGGTCGTTTTGAACAGCTTTCTCATAGTCTTGGAGATCGGCGAACGCCTCTGCGCAAATTTGTGGTTAGCTTATATCGCGCCCGCTGTCGCAAAGGCCAAGCTCACCTTCTTGAACAAAAGGTTTCAAAGTATCGAGAAGATCGACAGCAGCTGTGTCACCGACCGACTTGAACTTCTCGTCGTAAGAAATATGAACGTGAGGGCGCAAGTCATGGGCGGCGAAGCGCAAGCGGATAATTAAGCCCCTGTAGCCGAATATTTGCTCATCGTCGCCAAAGATAGGATAGGTAAATTGGGGGTGGAAAGTTGAAAGTGTTTTCGGCTTCTTCTCGCCGGGTTGAATGATCGTGACGTGAACCGCATCGTTGGCGCCGCAAGACCCTAAAGTGAATCTTGATCAGCTTATATCTTGGCAGCGTTAGATAGCGGGGGACTATGAGCTCACATCCAGCTTCGCTCGCCATTTTGACAGGATATGTGGAGTTTGAATGTCAAATGAGACAATGAAAGATCTGAGGTCTAAAGAGAGACGCGAATAACGCGCCCGGCCCAGGCGCGCATCAGTATTACCTAATCTGGATCTATGGCCCGCCTAGCTCTAGAGGTAACCAGTCACTACTATTCCGTACGCCGTAATAAGGATTGAATATCTCATTAACAGACTGCCTAAGGAAAAAGGCTCTATGGCTCCAGCTTTACGCACACATTTTAGAAGCCTCTGATTCCGGACTATTCACAAGTATAAGACTCGGACAAGACAAGTGAGAAAATATATCAGGGAAGTCAATACTATTACAATTTAGGAAGTTGCGAGTACTCTGATAGTAATAGGGAAAGAATCTTCCAAGGGAAGAGGCTAAATTGGAACACTATCCAGCTTCGTTCTCAATGATGATATAGACGCTAGTTGCCACTACAACTGATAGACTCGAAGGTTCGATAGTTATTGTCTAGCAACTATATCTTGCTGTCTTTAACTTTTAACTTTCATTCATGCCATATATTCTATTCCATCGCTTCTGATCTAGTTTCCATTTCCCAGCTGATTTCTTCAGTTGGGGTATCATTTCCAAAGCTCGCCGGATCCCCGTCATACGTCCTATTCGCTCCAGCGCTTCAACAACCCAATCATGAACTTCATCGGGGATCCCTGCTGCGCTCCCGGCAATTCCTAATGGAAAAAGCAGCATGAATGTACCATTTAACAATGGTATATCTGACGGGTCTTCATTGACTCCTTGCTCGAAGATAGCTTCCTGACTTGCAGTTCCGGCGCATATGTCACCTGCCATGCAAGAAATCGTGTCCAATGCTTGCTGCCGTTGAATTACATCGTCTGCTGTGGGTCGTGCCATTTTCGAAATTTGGGATACGATGGTCTCGTTGACCAGTAATCGTGCCCAGCGGTAGTGGTTGAAAGCTCTCGCAACCCACATGTCCGCGTAGACATGATACTGGCCACGAAAGGTGTGCTCGTATGTGTTGGATTCTTTTATAGCGAAGGACCAGTGGATCGGGAGGTGAGTTTCCCACTCGCGGAGTTCATCTTCAAATAATAGGGCTGAGTTCACTACTGCTCTGGCACCGGGCTTTTGGTGATGCACATGTGCATCGAACTTCGTAAATCTTATCAGTATGTCAACTAGGTCGACACCTGGTAAGATATCCGGTGGCGCAGATGGTATGAGATCAGGAGACCAATTCAGTAGATCTGGGGAGACAACCCTCTTGGAGAAATACTTGACAATTGAGACAAAGTAGAATTGTAAGTGAGCTCGGTGGTTCAAGTTGGTAAGTGATGACCGAAAGATGGATTGTTTGAGTAACGCGGCTGCACCATTCATATGCACTATCCAAGAGTTGAGCTGGTTTGGGGTACAGCTGACCATCTGCGCGGGTCAGTTTGAATTATTAAAAAGCAATTAGAAACGAAATGCATACCTCGTACAGACTCAGCATTACGATCAAGTGGAGTGTTCTGTCGGGATTGGCCTGAGTGGGGTTCTCCACTACTTCTCGTACAGCCTTGATGACCGTAACATGTTTCTCTCGAGATAATATCCGCAGTTCTCTGTCATTATTGACATTGGACAAGGCAGCGAGGCCGACCGAGACGATAGCATCTCGACTCGACTGATCGAGAGTAATGGCCCCAACTTCAGGAGATGGCTTCATAGTACCTATCTGTAAAGAGCCATCTTCTTTGGTGACAATTCTTGTCACAAAACGGTTAATAAAGAACCTCAGCCCCTGATCCTCCAATGGGATGGACAGCGGGGCAGTAATTCTCGGAGTCCAAATCGATTGGCTCCTGCTCCTGCAGACTAATGCATCTGACGGAGAACAGTCGGGTCGCGAGCCGGGGGTGGGTATATCATATTCTAGGGCTGCACTATCCTCCAATCTTCGACGGGCCTCGGTCTTAGCTTTCGCCTCTGCGCTTCGTCGAGCGGCCTTGTCATTCTCATCGCGGAACATTAAAGACGGCACATCCCGATAGCTGCCACATGGCTTGCCCGCTCTCCTGCATTGGGAACACAGGGGCTCAAGCCGGTCACACTAGACCATGTCAGTCTACAATTGGTCTGGTGTTAGCCTTTAGGCGACGCCACTTGCCTTTATCCGTCTTTCCCGACAACTGCCGCAACATTTACTGGGACGACCATAAAACGGCATTGTCTCTCAGTGGATGCGGGTGGTCGTATTCAATTCTAAATAGGCAAAGAATTCGTGAGATCAGCCCGGGCAGATGAGTCGATGACTGGGGGGCTTGGACTCCACTCTTTAGTGGGTTCTTGGCATCGATCGGCCTTTCCTAATTGGGTATCTGTTTCATCCCAGTCAAACATACAGTCTACAACATACATCAGATCTTAGTTATTTAATGTCTTTGATTGTGGCTTTGTCATTCCAGATTTGCAATTATATTTGGGCACTCGGCTGTTGCGCAAGACAGTCTCGGTACGATCCCTAGGAAGATTTAGTTCGACAAACATTCGATAAACATAAGAAAACTAGTATAAGGGGCACTAGCTAAACCGAGAAATATACATGGTGAAAGAATTCGAACAGGGTCAGCGGTTGAAGAAGCCCTTCTAGGGTATCTAAACGTAGACCTATTGTACATGGTAAACATGTGACTGACCCTTCACGTGGTAATGATGTGGCTGATGATGGTGATGAGCTTTCTGTGAGCTCTCAAGTGGGGCAGTGGGCAAATCTGTCGATGTGCTGGCTGGAATTGTACTGCTCACAGAAGATGGGGAAGTCCTACTGTTGGCTGCAATAGTTGATGTAGCTGTTTCGGTGTCCAAGACCGCAGAAACAGCAGAAACAGCAGAAACAGTAGAGACTGCAGCAAACTCTGTGGTGGTTGAGTATGAAACAATCGAACTTTGGCTGGATACGCCAGAAGTCGTAGTCGTTGCGCTAGGAGCCAAGCTCAATGTAGCGGACGACGCACTTGGTTTGAGATTTGCCGTAGATGAAGCAGCTTTGGAGGAGGCAGATACAACATCAGACTCATCCATGTGGTAGAGCAATGATCCCCAGCCCAACCCGTCGTAATGGCCAGACCCTTCTCCCCAGGAGCCCGCACCACCCTCCGCCCCGCCGTAATATTCAAGAGAGTTGTTGAGGTAAAGAGTGGTCCAAGGTGCGTCCAGTTGCTTCAGCACGACATAGTGGTTGTAGAGAAGCTCCCAGGTAGGTCTGATGGCTCCACGGGAGGCATTGCTGATCTCTGTGTAGCTGACTATACCGTTCGTGTAGGGGACGAAGGGAACGTCGTTTCCAAGGTTGTATCGCGCGAAGTACTCCGTTCTAGGGCGATATATTAGTAATTGATAAGGCGGAACCCTTGAGATGATTGGATGGTACTTACCCACGGAGAATCCGGCTATCGTTATAGGCAAACAAATCCTCTCCTTGGTTCAAGGCCTGCTGCCCGATAACACCGAGAAGCTGTATGTCTAACGCTGAGTGGCCCTGATCACGACCGGATTCTTGGCCTTGGCCGAGTAAAGTCCCAGTACTAGGCTCTTCAACGATATTGGTGATAGCATTGTTGATGGCGCCCGTTCCATCCCCGGCCTTGAAGTAATTCACAGCGAAATCCCATACTGTTTGATTGTCCGTTATGACAGCCATAGCCATCGCCGAAGCGACATTGCACAACTCCCAGTTCGCGAAGAAATGAAGAATATTATGCTCCGACGGCTCTTCGTGGTTCAGCCATGTGTAGTGCATCGGGATAAATATGTTATTGGCCATTTCCACGACAGATGGGAGGACATCATCCACGAAGGGCTGATAGTCAAGAAGGAGTTCGGCTGCGTTGGCGAGTTCATACCCCTGCAGGCCAGCTGTGAGGTACTTGTCATCGCCACCACCGATTGCAGTGAGATTGGTCGCCCATGCATGCAGGATATTGCTAGCGGCATCGGCAAAGCTCGTGTTCCCGGATATCTTCCAGCGTAGACCTAGATTGAAAGCTGCCGCGACGTCATGCCAGAGGAGCTGTGCGTTTGCGGCATTGTCTTCCCAGGCACTCCGATAGACAACGCTAACTGCTGAAGGAGTGTAGCTGGCGTCAGAGAATGAGAGGCTTGTCAAGGTATTCCAAGATGTAGTCCATGGATCCAGGCTGGCCTTGATCTTTTTCTGGGTGCGAGAGATATCGCTATCAGAGACGAGGAGGCCAGGGTGCACAAAACTTGCTACAAGGGGGAGAAAAGGGATAACGAAAGAAAGAGAGGGGACCATTGCAAAGAGAAAGGCAGCAATGAGTACAAATATGGCAAGAAAAAGAATGAATGACAAAACTAAAGATATAAGGAACCAGCCTAGTAATATAGAGATCGTTATTCTCTGGTTAGATTAAACTACAAATGAAGCGGAGATATCGAGATCTATGAAATTAATTACTCCGTTCTTAATTTAAAACAGCCTATGTTTCAGCTATGCGCTAGGAGAAATGGATTTCCGGACAGTTTCATGTTTCTGGATGTTTGTAGACATTAGCTCCGGTACTGTGGATCAAGTACTCCGTAGTTGTCCTGACATCGGAAATGAGTTTATATTCGGCTAGGAAATTCTGGGATCTATTCGACAAGAAACAGCCAAGATATTCTCATAGCACCTGGATTTATTATGGCATGAGTACTCGGTCTATGCTTCTCTCCTTAACGATGTAGCACTTCAGTAATGTTTTCACGATGGTATAAGGGGTATTATATGGTAGATAACTCCGATGTCTCTTGTTGGATGGTGTTTTCAGATATTTCTTTAGACGTCTTTTTATCCTTTTTTGTTTCTCTTCTTGGTGTTATAGCTAGAAGAATGGTCATTGACTATATCACTCTACAATAGGGGTAAAAGCATAAACCCTGTGTATAACCAGGTATCTTTTCTACAACTCAACGTTAATTGTTCCAGAATAGCTTCTAGTCGTATCGTTTGGTATCCTGCTTCTTCTAAGAGACGTCATCCATATGGGACCTATGTTCCCCGAGAGAAAAAGCAGGTGGAAGTCCATGAGTTAGGCCCAAGAGCTGCGCTTCTGATATGCCAGGCTAAGCTGCTGAGGTCGGCTACATGCCATGTTACTTTGCAGAGACTAGCTCTACTGAGATTCAATTTCGTATACAACAGCACACCGATATCTGGCCGAGGTAACATTTCCATTGCATCGACAGCTATTTTCATGTAGTATATTGCCAAAAAAATGATACTGATTTACGAATGTGTCCGGTTATAAGACTTTATGAGGGTTAAGACGCCTCTATAGAGAGTTGAGAACGAAGAAAGAGGAATAGTGAAACGGGCGAGTGCTATAGCCTATAGTTACGGTTGAGGGGCCTAGCACTTACCAGCTACCCTAATTAAGAGATGCCTAACCCTTATTTATCCCCTCCCGGCAGTAGATATTGTTGCTGCTGTCTTACATACCATTGTTTTTCTATTGACAGCTATACAATGGATTTGATATGGGTCTGAAGCGTTCCAGCTTGGCGGTGTAGTGATGATCTCTTCGGTCGATACCACAGAAAAGAAGCTTAATACGGGAGGAAACGGTATCCAAGTAGGTGTCATTATCCAGCTGGTAGCATTTGGCTTGTTCGCAGTGGCGGCTGTCCGTTTCAATTTCACTTCCAAGCGCTTCACAGGGTCTCTAGGCTCGATCTGTCTCTCGTCGACTTCACCGAAGCCACGACAGGATATTTGAGCACCTATGGGTGGCCGTTGTATGTATTTGATACCTGTATATGTATCCGTATGTTGTCCTTTCCGTCTGCCAGCATCCAGGAAGATATCTGCCATACTTGGGCTTTCGACTCCCAAAGGGTCCACACGGTAGCGGTGACCCGGAGATTCGGATGCGATAAGAATGGCGGGGTCGATCGGCTTTGGGTCTGTGGTCTGTGATCTCTGCATATGTATTCTAGTGGAGCATAGGTGACTGCTGTGTTCTTGAATCAGCATGGAGTATCAATGTGCAAGCGTGGCCGACAGTGGCTTGTGTGGCTTTCGCGGCTTGAACAATTCATATTAAATGACGACTCGATTATCTTTGCTATAGACATAGCAGGGGTAAAGTAAAGTGATTTAGACAAGGAAAGGAGGAGTAAATGCAGAAAGAATCGATCCAAGCAAGGATGGTTGCATTAAGGCCAGATGTGTGGCTGCACTGGCTGGAGAACATACAACATGTTCTAGAATAAACCTTCCAAGGACAAGCCCTATATGCATGCCTTTCAAGGGCATTGTCGAATAAAATATCCCTTCTAAATACGCATATGTTGCTCATACCTTGTACATATTTCCCCCTGGTATGTTTTGAAAGCGGTACCTGAGCTACGTGGGTCCCCCGGGTCCTTCCAACACCTTGGCCTCTTACGCCTTACGCAACCACACATCTCCAGACTCCCTCTGGACCCTCTATTCAATTCCCCTCACCATGATAGAAAGTCTATAGAGTGAACTGCGAGATCATCATGGAGGGACTATTCACTCTGCTCGCCCTGAGCATTGTGATGGCAATTACGTGAGCTACCTGTGTTCGGAAACCTAAGGTTCAATTGGAAGCTAATGCTCATGATTGGCAGATCCTTTGTCGTCGGCTCATTACCTCTGGCTTTTACACTGTCCCCCTCTCAACTCCGCTTGATATCATCGATTGGTATGGGTGTTCTGGTGGGGACGTCGCTGATCGTGATTATCCCCGAGGGCATTGAAACTCTCTACAGCGCGAACGCTCTCACTCGCAAACAACACAGTACACGGGCTACCGCTATTGAATGGCAGCACCAGGCCCCAGTCGTGGCAGCCACGTTTGGCCCAAACGGAGACAGCGCCTCAACCCTACCGTCCGATACCCCTGTCCCGGGTCTTCTTCTGGAAAGAGACCAACTCTCCGGGTCGCAAACACTTCATGTCCGAAAGGAGGATTCGGATGAAACAACGGCCAAGGACACAATCCACGGAGACGAGGAGAGTTCGCCACATGCGTGGGTCGGAATCGCCCTTGTCAGCGGTTTCATTTTGATGTACCTCGTCGATAAACTGCCCGAATTCGCAGCGCCGACAAAGAACGATCGGACCCCTTACCATATCTCTTTGGATAACCTTGGATCTGGGTTGCGGCGGGGCTCCTCCCCCTCCCGCGATGGTGGACTGCTTGATGCGAACCACGCGTCCAGACGTGGCCACAGCTTTGCGACCACGACCGGCCTAGTGATCCACGCCGCGGCGGACGGTATTGCTCTAGGCGCTTCCAGCTCGGATGCCGGGCTCAGTTTCATTATATTCTTGGCGATCATGGTGCATAAAGCTCCAGCGTCTTTCGGATTAACATCCATCCTGCTCAAGCAAGGGCTGTCAAGTCGCACCGCGAGAGCGCATTTGCTGGTCTTCAGTCTGGCAGCTCCTTTCGGTGCCTTGGCTACTTTCCTCTTTGTACAGATGATGGGATCTTCCGGTGCCGATGAGGCAGGCACTCACTGGCGCACTGGAATGCTACTGCTTTTCTCTGGGGGTACCTTTTTGTGAGTCTTCTTTTCTCGGTCATAACCATAGACCTTTTTATTAACCCGTGCAGGTATGTTGCGATGCACACCATGCAAGAAAACGGCCCGGGCTCATCCCCGCGCGAACTTCCTATTAACGGATATGGTGACCGAGACCAGAATGGATCAGACAAGTCCATGAGAGACTTGATTGCATCTGTTTTGGGCATGATCTTGCCACTATTCTTGCAAATTGGACATGCTCATTGAGCAAGTGCCCGTATGTATTCCTTGGGGATACGCCATAGTGCTTTTACATTTTCGCTTTTCAACTAGATTTTGGAGGGCTTATACCCATTGCAAGATACTTTTGGGAGATGGGTTATTCTAGCTGAGATAAATTGAGATACGGGAGGATATGTTTGAATAGATTTCCTTGTATAACTGCTGGGTGCTATATCGGTCATAATTGCATGATATCTCACGATCACAGCTACGTAGCGTCACTGTGCCATATTTAAAGCATGACAAGGTCCCCGACGTCTGACTTCTCCGAAGGATACTTTTTATCTTCCCATGATGTCGGTGATGACAAGATTCGTCAGTTTCGTCAGTCTGAATCATCCCGGCGTTCTTGACAGGTTCCACGGTCCCATTCCGATAGCCGCATGTCAATCCACAGCCTTGGGTCTATATCCTCGTGGGTGTTAATGAGTATCGTGAGCGTCGTGAATATTCAGGTTGCCTTGACAGTTCACGAGATTCAGCCCCGGAGATCTATGACTTGGTCTTGGGCCAAACCACATGCGTGTCTACATTCTCGACGCCTCACTTTTGCCTCTTTTGTCATAAACCCCTAAAAGGCAAATCTCAGGCAAATCAGAAGGCAAAAAGATGCAGAGGAAACATATGATCAGTGTCGGACACATAAGATCCATATAAAACCCATCTGCTGAACTAGTGCCGGCGAGGCCATGCTTTGTCAGAATCACGACACCTCCGCTGCAACTGTCTCCTTTCCTCATCGCCTTTTTTTCATTGGAAGTCGATTTCGGACTTTGATTGAATGAAAAAGAAACGACAAAAAAAAGTGATATATTCGAAAAAAAGAAAAAAAGAAAAAGAAAAACGGGGGGCCTCGATACATTCGGAGGATTATTAGTCTCACCTCCCTTCTTCCCTCGGCCGTTCGCCAGCCTCTCCTCATAAACCCGAACATCATACTCTTGACTCCCGACTCGCTTATAATTGAATGCCCGCCCTGAACGCTAGAAGGCTCAGTACGTTGCATCAATAAATACAAAACGGACAAGTGGGAGGATCATCCTAGACTGTGGCGGCCTCCCCCCTGTTCTGCGGCCATGGACTCCCATCGGGCATCATTCAGCGACATGGGAGATGGGTCGAATGCGCACACAACAGACCCGTTGGACCCTCATAGCCAACCGTCCCACGAATCAGTCAATACTTTCGCCAGTACTCCATCCAGATCACTCAGCACCAAGAGCACCGTCACTCCCATACCCGCCAACCTACTTCCTTCAGCGCCCGCATCACCCCCGACACCCGCGCCCAGCCCTACCCCCCATCAACGACCACCAACTTGGCACACAACCGATGACGAAGAGACTAGCTTTTTGTTAAGCCTTCGCATTCACTTCAGTACTCTATCCAACGGCCGAAAACAGAAACTCCTGGAGGGCCTTTTGGACATATGCGACAGCCAGCATCTGAGCTTTGTATCGAGTTATGTTGGACCTCGATTGAGGAAAGACCCATTTCAGGTTTTCCCTAATGAGCTATGCTTAAGAGTGAGCCGTTTGGTCGAGTTCTCTTATTATACAGTACTAATGTTGAGTCTGCTTAGGTTCTCTCCTTTATCGACGATCCCAAGACTCTCGCCCGAGCCTCACAAGTATCACGGCGTTGGCGAGAACTACTAAACGATGACATTACTTGGAAAAACCTGTGCGAGAAACATGCGTACTCGGTGCGACGGGTGCTGGACGATGAAGCGGACCTCGTCGACCCATTCACCGCCCACCCCGTAGACCCGGTTTCCGGCTCACGTACATTTGGCGGACTGCAGCGGCGCTTGACCGCATCCAGTGGTCAGGCCACGGAGAGTGCACCGGAGCTACCCCGCACGCTTTCTGGAGAATGGTTGCCTCCGACAAGCTTCTCTCGAAGACGTCGGACCCGACCTGTCTCCTACCGTTCACAGTTCAAACAAAAATACATGGTCGAGTCCGCGTGGAACAAAGGTGGTCGGTGCACCCAGCGCCATATCACTCCTGACCAAGGTGTGGTGACAAGTCTTCACCTCACTCCGAAGTATATTGTCGTCGCGTTGGATAATGCGAAGATCCACGTATATGATACCAACGGTGACAACCAAAAGACCCTTCAAGGTCATGTGATGGGAGTATGGGCAATGGTCCCGTGGGATGATATTTTGGTCAGTGGAGGCTGCGATCGGGAAGTTCGAGTATGGAACATGGCTACTGGGTAAGACAGAACATCTACGGCTTGCACGAACAAAAACTAACACATGATAGCGCGGGGATCCACCTTCTTCGAGGCCACACATCAACCGTGCGTTGTCTAAAGATGTCAGATCGGAACACCGCCATCTCAGGATCCAGAGACACCACCCTTCGTATATGGGATCTGGCTACAGGGACATGTCGTAACGTCCTCGTTGGACACCAAGCCAGTGTAAGGTGTCTAGCCGTCCATGGTGATCTAGTCGTGTCAGGCAGTTATGATACGACTGCACGTATATGGAGCATCTCTCAAGGTCGCTGTCTCCGCACCCTTTCAGGACATTTCAGTCAGATCTACGCTATTGCCTTTGACGGCCGGCGGATCGCGACAGGAAGTTTGGATACTAGCGTCCGGATTTGGGACCCGCACTCTGGGCAGTGCCACGCCATTTTACAAGGTCATACGTCTTTGGTTGGTCAGCTACAGATGCGGGACGACACCCTAGTGACAGGTGGCTCGGATGGCTCTGTCCGCGTCTGGTCGTTGACTAAGATGGCGCCGATTCACCGTCTTGCGGCCCACGATAACAGTGTCACCAGTCTTCAGTTTGATAAGACTCGCATTGTTAGTGGTGGCAGCGATGGCCGTGTCAAGGTTTGGAACCTACAGACTGGTCAGCTACTGCGGGAGCTTTCTACTCCGGCCGAGGCGGTTTGGAGGGTTGCTTTTGAAGATGAAAAGGCAGTAATCATGGCCAGCCGATCTGGGCGCACTGTTATGGAGGTATGTGGCGATGTTATGTCTTATGAGAATATGTTTTCTAATATATATCGCAGGTCTGGTCTTTCTCTCCACCACCCGATGATTTCGATGATACAGCCAGTGAGAGTGGTTTAATCACTACAGGCACAAGCTCTGTTAATGACCGCGATCTGGTCCCGACTCGACGTCGAACCCTCTGCTCCGTTCCCGCACCGATCCCATTAGGCACTGATAGCGATGCACTTATGCCAGACGCGCCCTCCTAATCCCTTAGCATTTGCTGGTCTGAACAGATCCAAATGCGTTTTGATATCCTGCCATCTAACGACTACGCATATCCATTTATTTTGTCATGTTTCTCTTCCCATCTTTTTAAGCGCGGTGTGTTTTTTTCAACAGTGGGTGGTTTGCCTTCAGAATGAGCTACTGGCGTCCCTCCCTATGTGTTTCTAGAGCACCAAACGGTTGCATATTTGGTGTCAACAAATCTGGTTGGTTACTGTGTCTTGTTCTTTATCCAGACTGATGAAGTTGCCATATTGGAGTTGTGAGGCCTTTCTTTTACATTGTTCTTATTTCATATCGGCCATTTCGGAGTGTTTTCTGGTTGAGTACATGATACCTTTTTGGGAACACTGGGAATGTGATTTATATACCATCTAGTCCGATGAAATCTATCATTTACATTCCTACTTTTCATCTCACCAAGTTTGAAGCCCAAATGTCCAAAGGGCTTACAGCTGATCGAATGTTAGAATGGGACCGCTAATTTAGCGTGAAGGAAAATATATTAATCCGTGTTAATCCGCGTTTCGACCATCTATCTGCTCAGAGGGGTCTTAGCGAATGTCGAGATCTCTCTTTATACTAGGATGTCTTCATAGCTTATAATAGACGTTCATAAAGACCCCGTGATCATTATTTACAGTATTATCTTTACCACTAAATCCTATCTTCTTCTGTACTAGGGTATTATAACCCCTAAAAGAATCCCGACATTCGCTGATGTCTGACATTCGCCGAGCTCTCGGAATTCGGATTAATACATGTTCCTCTGGGCCAAGAGGCGCTAAAAATTAGCGGTCCCATTCTAACATTCGACCAGCTGTCGGTCGATGTCCAAATGTCCAACTCGTGGCCTAGACCTAGAATGACTAAGCGGGTTTCTGGCTCACCCCGTTCGGGGAATGTCCCGGCATCATCTTCTAGACCTTAACGCGAGCATTGGTTACTGAAATACAGAACTTTGCTTTAGAAAAGCCATTCGTACATCCTTTAAGATGTGTATGTGCTTCGCTTTGACTAGGCAGCCGAGTTGATCCAGTTACCACCGATGACATAGGCCGTCCTGGACCTTTGTGAAACCCAGATCTGAGTCCGACCTGTCTGTAACTCGCAGTCCCCTTTGCGCTTTCGCTCAAAGTACCCGCAAGTCGAAGAGGTTCCTTAGACGACTGCCGGCGGGTAAACAATGGTCTATGGGGGCAAGCCAAGTACCGGATGTTACCTGTGTCGCAAGCGGAAGATAAAGGTATGTCCCGAGCTTCAATATTTGTTTTTGAATTTACCCCGCCAATGAACCTGTATTGTGTCTGTACTTATCTTTCTTCTTTGCATGCATTGAAAGGTCAAATGCTAAATTCCTCCCTTCAAGTGCGATGAAGCACACCCGGAGTGCCGGAACTGCATCATCTATGGCCGGCCATGTCCTGGGTACCGGCCGGATGCTGTCTTTCGCAACGAGACCAGGAAAGTCGAGCGGCTGGTGAAGAGCAATGCCGGTGTAAATTCCCATAGCAATTCCGACAGCCAGAACGGCTCCCCAACGCCGGACTCATCTATGTCAGCTGTCTCGCACCACCGACGCGCAAACTCACATGTCAAACACCATGGCAGGGCTACGCTGACGCTATACTCGCCCGCTGACTCCAGCTGGGAACAACGAGCACTCTGCTACTTCTTCGACCAGTACACCATCAAAGCTGATGCCGATGATGGCGGACACCTCGAATATCTACCCCCGCTGTACGCCCGCGAGCTCGGTCGCCAGAGCAGCGAATCGCCGTCTCCTTGTTTGCGGTGGGCGGTCGATGCCACGGCGCTGATGACTCTCGCTAATGCGAAGAATGCCCCACCTCTCATGAACAAGGCGCGGGAGGGCTATGGGCGGGCTTTGCGGGGCTTGCAGGAGGCATTGGCGTCGCCGGCTAATGCGGTTAAGGATGAGACGTTTGCTTCGGTTGTTTTGCTTTCGCTGTATGAGGATATCTCGGGCGAGCGGAATGGGCTACTCAGCTCGCATACGGCCGGGTTTGAGTTCTTGATGAAGCTCCGTGGAAACACACTGATTGATCATCAGCGTGGTCGAGATATGCTTACATTTGCTTATGCTCACACGGTAGGTTTGACTCTGGCATCGGGGCCGTATAAATATCGGTCCGAGACTGACGTTTGTATAGTATGTTGAAATACTTGCACTGGGAGACAAGCCCCGGTTCGACATCAAATGGGACCTCGGCATGCTCAACACCAATGACCCAGTCGAGCGGCTCATGTTCACCGTATCAAAGCTCTGCCAGTTATTCCTATACATAAGATCTCCACCAAACCTCCCAGACCAAGCAGCAATCGAATCATGGATCAGAGCCGGCCTCGAGTACGACA